CCTTTACACTGTGATGTTGGAAATTATATGGAGTTTCTTAGTTTTGTACGGAATGGACTCGAAATTGAACTCCATGTTTGAAATTTTAAGGTGTTTTATTGTTTGATTTGTAACGAATTGTTTCATCGTTATGACCATATCAGCCACAAAACGTCTACTGTTAAGCACAGGCCTTCCCCAATTGTTTAGGAGTTCACAATTTCCATTGAAGGTACATTTGTAGTACATATTGAACTACAATAAGACCAATAAGGTCGACAACTCCTGGTGACTCTTCAGGTGTCCATGGGCGGCGCGGACCACATACCATTCAGTGATTCGTCTAAACTTTTGCCAGCCAGGGTTGTGGGTCCAAGCCTAATAAATGTCTAGCCGCCTCGGCGTGGTGTAGGAGAAAGAACGGGTTGATTTTAAGTCAAAAAAAGTCTGACACTAACTCTTGCCCTACCAAGGATGACGAAGCTGACTTTTCCTTCTTCAAAAAATACTTGAATTCACCAATCTCATTATTCAACTAAGCATGCCTTTTCAAAACACAATATACTCGTTATTCTTTGTCTCCGCCAGAATAAAACCGAAGTATACCCGATTCTACCCCAATTTACTTAAAAACTAGTTCAAGTATTCGTCCAAAACTATTCAAGAATTCTTGATATACCTTCTCCATACTTTAACACATCAGAACACTCGACCTTTTCTATCTAAAATATTAATGTAGGGCCCGTATGAAAAACGGTTGAGGCGTGCGGTGCCGCGGGCGAAGTATAGCCTCCATTCGTGGTTTAATTAATTTATCATCCTCTGTAATTCAGAGGAACCAAGTGGTTTGTGTAACTTCATAATTCCGTTATATGAAGATGATAGCCTCAGATGGTTTTTTATTAAATTCTGCTTTGTGTTTTTTAGTAATTTAACAATGTTAGAAATGGACTCCGATCGGTTGAGCTCAAGGTCAATAAAAGTGATTGTAACAATTTTTGTCATCCTGCAATTTAAGCTGGTTTAAGAGCAGTCAAGTGCATTTTCTACAAGGACCTTGTCACATTGTGCATTTTCTACGTACAAATCTTCAATCGTGTGATAAATTTTGTTTCAAATTCAAAATTTTCAAAAAAGTCGTTTTGCAGTAATCAACACCACTCACTATTATTCTCAACCTTTATATGCAACTAGAGTTGCGCGTGTAAGTGCAATTATGTACTATAGTTCGGGCTTTGATCCATGTCGATTCTATAAAATTCGTTTGATTTTGAATCTTGTTCGAGTGTGAAGCGAGCGTCGAAGTGACAGAGAAATTAAATTTTAGAATGTTACTTTTAACGTCATCTCATACTTTATCTATCAAAATGTTGCTGTCAATTTAGTTCAACTCGCAAGTGTAGCGCTAGCGTACTGCTACTCACAGCGGATTCATATTCGAAGTTTAGAATGAAGTCTTACAGAAGAACACTGCAGGAGAATGAACAGTCTGGTTCTTAATGAGTAAAAGTCTGAAACTCCCTCTCACAGTCTCACCCCACCCCGAGAGAAGCCATTTGATGATTTTCACCCCTCAAAAAACCTTTATGCACAAAAGACTATAAATATTTGAGCAAATTCCACAAAAAAAAAGAAAAAGCAACAATAAAAAGCAAAGGTGTTTACATAACTCTTTCCCTAATATTGTAAGGTTACACAGAATTCGAATTTCAAACAAATTTTGTTAAGAAAACAAGAATCCATATGACATATTTGTAACAATATGTACATTTGAAGTTTCAAAGAAAATAACAATTGTATGTAAAACAAATATTATAATGTTATTACTTGTTACCATTCAGAAAGAAGTTGACTTGTTAAGGTTTGAATAAAGTAAAGAAAAACCACCCACATGTTAACCTTTGAGGAATTAAGTGGGAGAGAGTTATTCGGCTTGAATGAGCCAGCTCGATCGGAGTGATACCACGGTCTCACAGAATGTCAAGCGTCAAATAGCACATACGTCGTTTGTAAAATTACACATGTCTGTACATTTGTGAAGTAAAATCTTGTTCCTTCAATTTGTAATAGATATATCTTCAACCGACTTAATTGAAATTTGGTTCACAGGATCCTATACGTTAAGCTCCGGACTCATCGACTCATATAACAATTGCTTGTTCGTTTTTGTTTCAGAATTCTCCATAGCAACACCAAGTCCACAATATTAGAACATCAAGTTAACATCAATAGAATAACGGCCTTTTAAGAGACAGATACACGACTCATTTATACATAATTATCCTTACCTTCAAGGCCGATATCAGGTACGATGAAGTTACAAAGGTCTAAAATTAAGATGGGTTACGAGTGATGGACAAGGGACCAGACCTAGATAACGGTCTTTGTTAAGACCTTACATCTTGATAATAGGGCATACAAGGATAGTGGAATGTACTGTCAGAGTCTCAGATTTCTAAGTAATGCTTTTCTGAAATGTTTCCTGAATAAAATTTAGCTTTTCTTGGATGTAAAGTGCCATAGTGTAAGTGACATCTTTAATGATTTGTTTCAACTCTAGAATAAATGTGGGTACAGGCATGTGATCTTTATCGACGCTTTTTTGTAATCTTTTTTTTTACAGCCCCACGATAGGATTTTCTCCTGTGTCGTGGGTGCCTTTAAAAACATACAAATTCATATATGCAAACTATATCACTCCGGGAGCCGAGCGATTAGTATCGTATCTCGGCTGTTTTCATTTTAAAGTGTACACTACACTAGGGTTTTCTTAAGTGTACTGGATGTATATACAAACATTAAATTTTGTATAAACAAGACTCACAGACTGGAAACAATAATTTTTGGACCACACAAAGTTTTATTTCGTGCGGGAATCAAACTCGCCACACAGTAGCCACTACAGCGACCTTGCAGCCAAATACATTGTCTAAAGTATAATTGATTACCTTTATTTTATTTTAAATGCGAAAGTTGGAAATATGGATAATGGAATAATGTTTGTTACTCTTTCAACGTGTGTCCTAGTAGACTGGTGGTTAAGGCGCCCGCTTCTCATGAACAAGGGTGCGTGTTTTAAACCTGGCAAGTAGCGGTGAGACTTTTTCTGATCTACATGTTCTTTGTATGATGTTAAACACGAATGACATGGGTCAAAAGAAAAGCATCGTCAGGAAACCTGGACTTACAGTTTTTAATTTTAAATTTGGAATTGCCAATCCCCCTTAACAAGGCCTAGGGAAGAATGCTAAAACCTTTTCCGCGTGATAAAAGGCCCTTGCACAGCAGTGGGCACTTATATGCTCATGGTGTGTTGTGATGTATAACTCTTTTACCTAACAACTACTGAACAAATCCAAATGAAATTTGGTATAACAATAGATTATAGTCTGAAGTAGGCTTTGACGCTCGCGTTGCAGGTACACCCACTAAAAGAAGCTAGTTAAGAATAATATTAAAAGTGAATGGGAAAGAAAGCGCCACGCACCACTGTATTCCGCCATATGTTATGTTACGCCATGACAGATCGCGTGATAGTCCTTTGATGTGTTAATATCGTATCGTATAGATCCTTTTTGAAACAATCCCCGGATTTTTCGGATATAGCTAGGGTTGTTACCTGTGCGAACAATTAAATTTTCCGGTTCGAAAGAGTACGGGTTATTTTATTTTAAATATTGATTTATTTTAAATTAAAATATTGTTGCTTGTTGTCAATACATACGATACAGATACATTTTTCTTTATCTCAAAACATGTTAATATTATAATGGTAAATGAAAAAGATAACAGTATCAAAACGATGAATGCCTTTAGTTAGCGAGAAAGTGAGATCAAATCCAAACTAATAATAATTATTGTAAATGCGAAACTAACTCTGTCTGGCTTTTCTTCACGCCTAAACTAATAATATGAATATTCCGGCTTTTATATTAGGAAGCAACAATTTCAACAATTCAGTTTTTATAAAATCTTATTAATATGTTTAAGTGTTGGTGAACCAAGGTTCGACACTAATGGACGGCTCAACAGGAGTGATACCACGGCCTCACAGGAAACCAGCATGAAACAGACACAACATTGTGTTTTTGCTGTGTAAGTGAGGTTATCGGAGGCCCAATTCTTAACACCCCATTCCCTCTCCAGTCAGTCAAGTCTCTCTCTAATCGGCAATGCACTTGTAACTCCTCTGGTGTTGCAGGTGTCCTTGATCGGGCGGAGCCGATTGCTTACCATCTCTATTATTAAAAATAGATAGATACTCTATTACATAAATAAACTCACTTTTACCTATTATATAATCTAATAAAAGAAAGTAATCTTCTTTTTTCATAACAAAGTATAAAGACTTTTCTAGTAAACTAATACGTTGACAACCCTAACGGGCCCCAACATTTGTTGTAAGGTATACTCGTAATAACGTCTAGGGCTGTACAAGGGTTTCCGTTTGTCTATTGATTCCTGTAATACCAGCTCAACTGTAATAAACGCTTACTATCGGACAATCTTGGCGTAAAGATGAAGATAATATGGGAAGAAATTATTATTTATTTATTAAAATGATATACTGCGTATGATATTTACCGAATCCTTTGAAATAAGGTTAGTAATGATGTTGGTAATAAAAAAATACTATTGCAAAATAGTTAATTTCATCGACTTATTCACGTGACTGTTTGGCGTCAAACGTAATTCTCCGGCGAGTTGGCTGCATGACGTTCTCGTTGTGTGTCGCTCATTATCATGGGTCCCCGCGTGGCTTGAAATTATTCGAGATATCTCGCTAAACAATTGTGTAAGTAAGTCATTAAACTGATTAAATTGTTCAATTATTGTCATAATAAAGGACGGTAAATGGGCAAATGGATCATCTAAGTAAGGCCACAGTATCATTTCAGTTTAGCCAAACCATTCATGACAAAGCATTTTAATCCCACACTTTTTTTTTTTGTGAGGGGAAAATCATCAAATGACTTCTCCCGCCCAGGGCCGGGCAGGAGGGAGTGTCAGACTCTTACTGACTAAAAACCCCCCTGTTCCTTCTCCTGCTCTGTGCCGAGGTCGCGGTGCCTCATTGCGCTTACCCCGCAACCCCGGCTGAACATCAGCCCTTTAGGGCCCCATCTGTGGTGGTCTAATGGCTCTTTGAGGCGCGCGCGGAACGCTACGCGCCGTACGCTCGGGCCTGGTTCTGGTCGGGCGGCGAGCTGCCCTTACTCGCCGACCGCAGGCCCGTGCTTACGGTGGCCGGAGATCGTCCCTTGATCCCCGACGCCCGTAGTGTCGCCAGTTGCGGCTGCTGGGGCGTGAGGAGGAGGATTGCTCCCTCACGCGGGCCGCCTCTCTCTTTGCGAGCATGACTGCTTCACAAAAGGAGGAGACGGCGTCCCAGTTCCTCTCACTCCGCACCATGGCCTCGACTAAGGCCGGGCGCGAGAGGTCGCCGCCGCCGATCACTTCCCTGAGGATACGGCGGTGCTCAGCCCAGGCAGGGCATACCGCTACCGTATGCTCCACCGTATCCTCTAGGTGATCCTCACAATGACTTCTCCCACACTTAAAGTTATACTTTTAATATTATCTAAGTAATAAGCATATATATTACTGCCTAACTACGTATAGGTCTTACAGTCACAATAATACGCTTTTATGAAATAAATGTAAAAGGAAAAAAGTGTGAATATTTTATGAATTCGTGGAGCACGCGTACGGTTAAATACGTGCGTACGGTTAAATATTTTGACCTTCGTAGCACACGTGTATCCTTAGCTTAAGAATGCCTTTTAATGTTTTTGAAAACAATTTTTATAAACCGCATAATTAAATTATTGATTCACGAAAGTCAATATCAAAAAATGACCTCTATGTATGTCTGGATGAAACTTTACAATTTCGTTCCCAGAAAATTCTGGGTGACCCATGATTTTTCGATTCGATTTCAGTAAACATGTCTCAATAATCGATTTTCTAAATTCTCAGTAGTCGGGTCAAATATGAGACTAAATCCGGTTAAGCACAATTCGCAAAAAACGTTGGTTTTCTCAAAAGGAAACTTGATTTTCTACAAAAGTTGATATGTTCTCAGAAACTACATTGTAATTTTCATTTCTTTTGTTAGCTGATGTTTTTTTTTCTATTCCATATTTATTTCTTTATAAAAAAAAAACATACAATTTAATGTAACTTCAACCAGGTACATTTTTGGCATCAGTATCGATCACTTATCACCCCCTGGTAGTTATTTTGAAAATATATTTAATGTACAGAATTGACCCCTCTACTGATTTCTTATAAGTATAGATTAGGCGTAAGTAACTTTATACTGTCTCTGTGGCGAGCCAGTCTTTATTTTCTTACCTGTTTACCTAATAAATGTCTAGACTGTTTTCCAAACCCCAATGGCACTTGCAAACCGCCTTGTCAGGATAGCACTAACAAATCTTATGAGCAATTGGTAATACACAGTACGTATTTCTGCCTACCCTCCATTGAATAGAAGCTTAGACACTAAGTCAATCGTCATCAACACAGTTCAATAATCAAGAGTAACCCTTGTAGGCACTTGTAACCGAGGAACCAATTTGAATGATGATCAAGTAGGTGCTCAATAATCCGGTGTTTCAAGAGCTACAGATTTATGTCTGGTTTGCTTAAGTAAAGAATGTTTTGTAATTACAAACTTCTTATATAATATGGATAAAAAAAAAATCGATAATAAATGTTTTCTTTTTAAAAATCTAGCCTTTTTTTAGGTGGGTTACTTAACTTCTGGGACTAATAACTTTTTTTGGAGTTACAGTAAAGTCGTTAGTAAGAAGGCGCGTTTATGGACATACAAAATAAACAAATTTTCAGCTTAATAGGTTACAGAAATCTGTTTAAAAATACCACTTCACGTACATACATACATAGCTTTGTAAAGAAAAGAGTTCATTTCGACAAGATTATCGGCAAAACACAAAATTTCAAAACCAGAGTTCTGTTTTACCGTCATCAACAGACTACAAGAGCTCAGGGCTAGAATATAAGACACCTTTAAAAAATTTTTTTTTGTGTGGATTTATGAATACCTGTCCTGAGTGGAATAGGCGGCAGCGTCAAATTCTTACTGACTAAAAACCACCCCGTTCCTTCTCCGGTCGGTCCTGGGGTCGCGGTATTTTATTGCACTTGTACCCGCAACCCCGTACAATTAAATAATATCCACGTTCGCTAAACAGAACAGAGGTCGCTCTTTAAAAGAATAAGGGTTATCACAGAACCCAACCCTTCCTTTTCTTTTCTTTTTTTTGTGAGGGGAAAATCAAATGACTTCACAGACTCTTACTGACTAAAAACTTCACCGTTCTTTCTCCTGCTTTAAACCGAGGCCGTGATGACTTATTGCCTTTGCCCCGCAACCCCGGCTGAGAACGCTGCGACCCTGAGTCGAATCTTATAGAAGGCCTTGGGAACACTGCGGATGGAGAGAAAAGTACTTTAACCTACCGTCATTCAAGGCACAAGTTTTTTATTTGATTTTCAAAAGTTATTTCACTTTTGTTAAGGTATAAGTAAGGTGCTGACCTTCCTGAATTTAACTCTGTAATCGATTACAAACCACTATCTTCAGTCTACTCAAAATTAAAATACCTCTTTGGCATAATTCTATCCCTACCTTAACCAAAGCACTTCATCCTTCATGTACTAGACTAAGACAGTATATCACAAAATAAAATATCAATATCAACATCTGGACCCCATTCAATTAACATTTGAGTACCTCAAAATTTACGCAGAGCTCCGGGCATTGGTAACGAGCTAACTCAAGACGGTTGACTTACCAATCGCTTAGAGCCACTTAAGAGTTGTATTATAGTTATGTAATGGGAAATACTTGATCGTACAATCCGAATTTCTGTTCAATATGATTGATCCAAGTTTTGCTTGTTAGGAGTTTTCAAGATTTCGCTCAGTATTATATTTGATTTTGCGATCTTGTTATACTTGGGCTTGGATGTGGGTGTGACTTTCCGTCTAATTATGATGAATGTTATTATGATATTACTTTTGGAAGTAAATAAGTTGTATGAGCACTCGAGTCTGGGAACTAGTTTCATGATATCATAAGTGGAGTTGTTGCTAAAGTAACGTAATAAATAATATTATGTTTGTTCCAGAAAATTTTGGGTGAGCCAAGATTTTTTTCATTCGATTTCGGTGAACGTGTCACGGTAATCGATTTTCGAAATTCTTAGTAGTCGGGTCAAGTATGAGATTAAATCCGGTTAAGCAAAATTCGTGAAAAAAAGGTTAAATTTCCTCAAAATGAAGTTTCTTAGAAACTATCATTTTCATTTGTTTTGTTCGCTCGTGAGTTTTTATCATTATATACTAGCTTGTACGAGCTGCTTCGCCCGCAGTTCCATGGAAGCATGTGTGTTAATAAAGACTTATAGTAATTATCTACCTCTAACATTTTATTCATATCTACTAAGTAATTTTACGTGCCTATTAGTAGGATTTTCTATCCAACTGTGCTCGTCTAGGCCCAACTTTCCTAAGTTTAATTTAGGTTTTAGTTACCACAATATACTATTACAATATATGAAAGATCATACTAATCAAATACAAAAATCTAGCGTAATAACTAATAAACTAAACTATAATTACAATTAAACTGAATATTTTATAACATCGGAAATAATTATTTTAGATAGCGAGAGCTTTTAAACATCGATAGAAAAGTCAATTGAAGTTTCAGGTTATCGAAAAAAGTTTTTTTTTAAACATTGCCTCACAATAGGATTTTCTCCGGTGTCGTGGGTGCGGTACAAACATACAATTTCACATACACATGACACGCAGACTCGGAACAACAATTTGTAGATCACACAAGGAGTTGTTCCGTGCGGTAATCGAACCCGCTACACGTAGCACAGCAGCCAGTTGCCCACCACCGCACCATCCGTGCAGTCAGACCTAATGCTGCATATGTAACTGTGTAGTGCATTAATCATAAGACTCTTAGAAACACCAAGAGTCTATCGGCAGATGGGTTTATTTAAATTGCCCATTACTAGGCTCATATTCATATCGTTATATACCTTCAAACACTTCCTAATGAATAGCCAGGTACCTCACGTAAGAACCCACAAAAATAAAATTGTAGCCTTTTTAAAAACCTGTTAAAAATGACCTTTAGTAGACTGACCGCTGTAAAACTCCCTTATCCAAGACCCTTTCTTATCCAGCTCGGATTTTTCCATTCGATTTAGCAAACTAAGAATTTGGGTTCCATCTTTGAGGTCATTGAATTGAAAGTAAGAAAATTCAATTTATACGAAGCCATGATGCTTTCAACGAATTTACATATTAAAATAAGAATTGTTTCGGTATAATGTAGGGGTCTGAAATGTTTGTTTGTTAAATCCGTTTCGAATGTCATTTGTGATTTTTGTTATTCACTCGGCTTTATAAATGATTTTTGTTTATTTTTATTTTTCTATCAATAAAATAATGTTCTCCTTTTTAATTAAGTTCAACACGTTGACGATGCTCTTTTTCTATGTATGTATGTGTTAAATAAAATACATAAAAAATCTGTATTGCGAATCAAGGCAACTACCGTATAATTCTTAATCAATGTATTTTTGACGTGGCTTGCGATGAAACCTAAATTTCTCGTAGATGTTATATCCAGCTATCAGTATTTATTTTTTAACAAATTTAGCAATTCTGATGCAATGATCTTGATATGACTACAAGACATAATGAAAGTTTTCGCTTCTGTCCATTTTTAAGGATAAATGCTGTCACAAAACATCAAAAATGTTACTAAATAAGGCCTAAAGGATAACATTTTCCGTAAACAAAACTAGTTTTAGACTAAAGTCCCACTGAAACTCCGAAAGCTAGTAATTGAAACAAACGTTCTTATCAACTCCATAAAGTTTAAAATAGACTAAAACGTAGCGGTACTAAATTTAATAGAACATTCTAGTCTACTAAATAAGAAATATTCGCCGAAACTAACGAGGGACTACCCAAAGAGGGAACTGAGGGAGATAACAAATATTTAACACAAGTACATGACTTATCCAACTCATTTCACGGTACGTATCCATAAAACGGTGTGATAGTATTCGGTGCCATTTTTATGTCGTCATCGTTGTCCCTTCCGGTTGTACCGGCCGGTAACATATG